TGGTACAGTGTCATATTGCCAATCTGCATGTGAACCATTGCTATAGCTGTCAGGGTTGTTTTCATTTCTGAGAGACCCTGCATTTCTATAGCACATTCAGAGAGAGGTATTATCCTGTTAACACTGGCAGCGGCCGTCCTCAGCTCCTCGAACAGTTTAGCTGACATAATTGTTATGTCTGCCCCACCGTCCAAGAGTGCTTCGTGTGTGAGGACACCTTCGAGTGTTACTGACAGGTACGCCTTTTTGGCGGCCCCCTTTCTGATAAAGTTACATAGAAACCTTTTGTTTTTTTTCTGACGCTTTTTCACGCGTTCAGATTTATCTGTGTAATCTTGATTTGTCTGAACCGTCAGCACAGCAGAAGCTGTTTCTGAGTGTTCAGCTTGCGATGACTCGTCATCGTTTGTGTGTGTGTTTACCCCCCCTTCTTCTGATGAGGGGTTGTTTGAGTGAACAACAGTTATGTCTTGGTGTGTTTCACCGACATCTGTTATGTTGTCATTCGCGCCATTAGATGTAATGGGAATTACATCACTGCAAAGTGCTCCTGGTTGGGTTCCCGTGTCAGTGTGTTTCAAAGTTTCTAACAACCTGCGTATTTTCTCTGTCTCTTCCGAGTTTAGAGGTGTAGGGCCTTGTTTCTGGAACTTTTGTGATTTTTTCGCCTCGGTTCGTTTCGTCCGAGGTGGGGGACGGTCAGGTACGTCTTTCGGGGGTTCCTTTACGTACTGCCCCTGCCGATATGGTTTCTCATATCGTTGCGTCCTGCGCTCACCCCATTTACGATAATCACGTTCATCCTCTGAAAGAGGAGCATTTTTGTCCCAACGTGCACCTTCATTACGTGGTTTGTTATTTTGAACAGACTGTTTTCTCTCTTTCTTAGGAGGAGGTGGCGAAGCACGTCGTCCTTCTAGTTCAAGAGAGTGGGGTTTAACCTTTACACTAGGAAACACTTCAATGGGCGTCTTATCATGAGAACATGCTTCAAACACATTCACAGCACACTGTTTAATCTCACTGATGGATTTTTCTCTGAAATTTGCCATCATTTGTACTGATTTTTTAAAATCAGAGTGGAGATTTTTGGTGAAAACAAACTTAAAACCATCATCTTCTTCCATTCCGGTCTCATTTCTGTTACCAAAATAAGCTTGGAAGATTCTTTTGTAATAAACTTTTGGATGTTCATTCTTGCCCTGCGTGACCTTGTCAGCGGCTGGAAAACCAGCAGGTCCCGTGCAAGAGTCATACTCTTTGATCAGAGCCTCACACAGAAGGTTGTAATCCCTCTTCGTTGCATCTGGCAGACGCTCGATGAAGGTGAACACCTCTCTGTCCGAAGTGAGTCGTATCAGACTGATTTTATCTTCTGCCGTAGCATTAGGATAAGCTCTCAATCTGAAATCCAGATCTCTGAGGTACGCTTTTGTTCCTGCCGACCCCATAGGGCCGGGAACGAAACGTTGTACATATTTTGAGACTTTCTGCAAATCATCCATTGAAGGAGACTGTATCAACGGTCTCACATGCGTGATTGGTGCAGATTGGTCAAGGCCTACTCCTACCGCCCATGGTGGGGGTGGGGGTGGCTGGTAAGGAGGAAGAGGTACATATCGGTGCAGTTCTGTCCCTACCGCCCATAATGGTGGTGGGGGTGGGGGCATGGTGTCAGGAGGAAGAGGTACATATTTGTGCAGTTCTGTCCCTACCGCCCATGGTGGGGGTGGGGGTAACGGCGTGTTGTCAGGAGGAAGAGGTGCAACAGCATCAGTCTGGAGAGTTTGTGGCTGTCTCGGACCCTTAGACTGTTCGTCTTTGAGTCTCAGACCAGCCCTACCCATATCAGAAATCTGGTTTGTAGCTGTAGCTAATTTCTCCTCACAAACTTTCAGGTCCTCCTGTGATGTCTGATATTTTTTTATTAAAATCAGCCATCGTTGGAGTGATTCCGTCTTGTCTGCCTTGCAAACGTCCAGTTCCTTCAATGCGATCTGTAACTGTGCTTTTAGCACGTCGTTATCTGAACGCGAGGCTTGGTACGCTTGTTCTCTATCCTCTGCTTCCGATAGTGATGCTTCAAGTACTTGTAGTTTGCTGTTCAGCAAAGCAATTTCTGTACTTGTATCTTGCTGTAACTGAAACATCTGTTCATAATGTTTCGTCATTAGGACCTCGTGTTCGCTTCTAAATTGACGGACGTATTCTTCCGTTTTTTGAGCCAAATCTATTTCACTGTCTAACCTTTGTTTGATTATAACAGTTTTATCAACGGCCTTATAGAATGATTCTTTCAGCAAGATTGCAATTTTAGCCAGCTTTTCATAACTGGACTTTGTGATTTCTGCAGAGGTCACACTTTCTGCAACCTCCTTCAGATTGTCCACTAACTCTTTTGGGTTCATGCGCTCTGTCTGGATTATATATGGATGTAAGGACGCTCCGAGAAGCGCGAACGCATTCTCGAGGCAGTCCGCCATTCCTTTTGTGTCAAAATCTTTTTCTAACACACCTGTCATGTTTTCACTGTGTAGCAATTTATCTGTTTGAACAGTTGCAAGCTTTAGATATTTTACAGGTAAATATTTGTATTCAAGTCAATGAGTTTTCACACTTATTTTAGCTTTGGGTTTACACAGAAGTACTGTTATAAGTCACTTATTCAACTGTGGGTACCTTTCTCAGGTTTTACCCCAATTCATGAATATTTAAGTAAATGCTCTTTCAGCAGTGTTACTTTTTGTGCTTATTTTCCACAGATACTAGAGTACCAAGCTGTTTTTTGTGTATTTACTCTAAAACACTGAATTTTTTATAAACCTGCAAATTTTCCTTTAGTCTCACAGCAATATTAGTTTAAAATGTTTTTTTAAACCGTTCTGTTCCAGAAATTTGCTATTTTAAACAGTTACTCATCAACCCAGGTGGGTGAAAAGAGAAAAGAATTTGATGATGAGGAATAATCAGTCTTTCTTCAGAAAAACTGTATTTGCTCCTGTATAGCTTCTATTTAAAATTAAATAGAGAGATATTTTATTTAGGTGGTAAATTAAACAGAAAATCTCTTTTTCCTGATAAATTTACTCTTATTTAGTGATTTTGCAATTAAACGTGTATTATCCTTCAAGCAAAATGAGTAAACTGTTCAACTCTATGAATATTTGTAACTGTATCTGTTTTTTAAAAAGTTTCTAATTTTATTATGACCCTGTTTTAAGGATTTATCAGTGAATAAAATTTTTTGGTAAATGCTTCTTTGCATAAATACCTATTACTTTTTAAAATGTAAGATAACAGTGTTTTATTCAGCTTTGAGGAAGTTTGTTAACTCAGAATTTGCCTTACAGAAAAATAAAAAGACGTTTAATTTCACTCTTTACCTAAAACGAAGTGAAATCTGTGATCTCACGTCTCGCCAGGAGATGTCAGTATTTCCTCAACAATTATAACTCCGTCACTTTTTGTGTTGTCCACTAGGGGTGCTATAACTTCCTGTGGCGTTCGGTTGACATCCTGTTGTTAGCCGCTTAGCTTGAAGTTAGCTTCGGCTAAACTCGGTCAAAATCAACATTTCTGAACGGATTTTTTACACAAAAGTGGCAAAAGTTTTGTAATCAGACTTTATAGCTTCAAACATGAGTTTTTGGGACAGTATAGCACTTCATTTAGTGATTTTAAGCGTAGTTTAGGCTCCGGTCGTTAGCTTGTTAGCTTAAAATTAGCATCGCTAGCTTTGTTTAAAAACATCGTTTTTTGGCGAATTTTAAACTCTAACGTAGCAAAATTTCAGCAAGCAGGCTTCGAAGCACTTAACAGCGTTTCAGAATCACTTTAAAAGGCGCTTTTTAGCTTTAAAAAGCAGATTTTATTTCCCTATGAAAATGAATTTCATATCCGGGTCACGTGACTGAAATCACCAATGGCAACGCAGCGCAGGCTTGAGGGGAGATGACGTAGCACGTCAGTCAAACTTCTCAACCAATGAAAGCGCTCCACAACAGCGAATTCAACCAATCAGGAAGCGTATTCTCCAGCTAGCAAGTTAGATTAGCGTAAAATAGTTCGTCACTTTTTCGTCTTTTAAACTGTCAAAATGCACTTTTTCTGTTAAAAATTGTAGCGAAACAACTTCTAACTGTGTTCTGAGATGGCACTCAGCTTTTAAAACGTTTATCCATCTATTCAAAATACTCGTTCAAACTGAACAGAACCCACAGCCGGGTCTTAGCAGAACCTCGTACTTTTAAACAGAATAACGTCTTCCACAGCTCATCAGCTTTTAGTTACACGTAACAGACGTACAATTTCAGCTCTTAAAACATTGCCAGCCCAACGCTTATACATGCAGCGTTTGCTTGAAAGGTGCAGCTCCAAGCGCGCAGCCCAGTTGCGCTGCGTAAAGACGCACGGTTTCAGCACAGCTGATAAACTGTTACCTTTTCAACATGCCAACATTTAAATCATCAATCTTACACGTATTAACAGTCATTCATGAACCGTTACGAGCCACCAGTTTGTAGTGAGTCACGTGAGGTACGTGTCACTTGTTGTATGACAAATATATGGATATATATTTATGCATACTTTTCACGAGTTCTTCATTTTTCTGACTGTAAATGCCGTGCATTGAATTTAACACAAAATGTAACGAGAGACGTTATTACCTTTGACCCATCAAATGAATGGAATCATTTATTTTCAGAATCAAAGTTTAACATCAAACATTTACATTAATTTGGCAAAATATGAAAATAATAACAGACAGTTTCACAAAAAATGAACTTCAAATCACTCGGCAGTGATTTGAGGACTTTGCTTCAGATATTTCTAAAATATCTGTACTGATTTATGAGAGAGAAGAGTTTAAGATGAAAGGAGATTATCTTACAGGGAACTATGTGAGGGAATTTAATCTGTTTGACCAGAAGTTGCACGCTCCGTCAGATCCTCAGCCCGTCCACGGTACACTTTAGTCGAAGAAGAAGTCTTTACCTGGTTTGACGATAGATCAGCTCAGTAAGCATCCTTCAGACTGTTTCCAGCGCCTCCGTTAAGCACAGCTAAAATCCTCGGAGAGTCGTGCTTGGTTAGCTCAAAACAGAATTATAATCCCAAACGTCCCTGGATTCTCGGCAACTCCAAAATCTTCATAACTCTTGGACTCTTCATTGCTCTGAAGCTTTCAGAACCGGCTGCACTCTCGATCTTGGAACTCTCACATTCTCCAGAACTCTCAATCTAACATGAACTGAGAAGTTGCCACATTTTATTTGGGTCGACTTCCTGTTCAATTTAGAGCTTTCTGATTCGTGGATGTACCAGAAAGAGGTGTGTTTTCGTGACGTAAGTTGTTATCAAAATCAAGGTCAGGGAATGAATCTGTTTTCACATACAGAAAAGATTATTGCAGAAACAGCAGACTTCGTGGAGTCAACTCTTGGTAATCTTCTGAAAAAGTTTAAACATGACATTTTT